CAAATTGCGCAATTTGTTGTTTCACACAGACGGTCATACAGGCGGTTGCGAACTAATTGGCGACGTAGAGTAGTCGGTGGTATTTCAACTATCGCTACCGATTCCTCTAGACCTGCCCTTCTTAAGTATCGTTTAACCTGTGCAAGGATATCCGTATAAAAGAACACCTGGATGGCAAANTACCTGAACTCATGCAATCACCGTCCCTGCCGTAAGGGCAAATTGCGCAATTTGTTGTTTCACACAGACGGTCATACAGGCGGTTGCGAACTAATTGGCGACGTAGAGTAGTCGGTGGTATTTCAACTATCGCTACCGATTCCTCTAGACCTGCCCTTCTTAAGTATCGTTTAACCTGTGCAAGGATATCCGTATAAAAGAACACCTGGATGGCAAACGAAAACTAAGACAAAGTACCCCACTAGGGAAGCATAGGATACAAAAGCATAGCGAAGACGATTTTGAAGTAAAAGTCAATATCCTTGCACAGGAGTCCAAAACACCAGCGCGAAAACTCCTAGAGGCTTTTTGGATCAATGCCAAAAACCCTGCAATGAATAACAGGGACGAAAGCCCGGAGGTTATACGCGACCTGATCCCGTACGTTCGCATCGATTTTTGATGTGGGATGGTGCAGTCGTCAACCACATGCGACTATAATCAGCTGTTCTAAACTTCCTCATTGGAAGTCACGAAAAAAAGCGGCTCTGAAGAAGGCGATACTGCCGAAACGTCAGCTAGCGTTGTATTGTATTGTGTTTTTATGGAAGTAAATGTATGCTGTTTAAAAACCTCGCGATTGCTGAACAAGAAAACGACACATTTAAAAATTCAGATTTCGAAAAAGCAGTTTGAAGAAATTTCCTTTACGAATTTAAACTCGGTAGTAAACAATGAAAATGACTCGAAACATTAATGAGATATGGAGAGAAGGATGTGCTAACGAACGCACAGTACATCGTTGGTTTCAAAGATTTCGTCATAGCAAATCCGACGTTGGATATGAGGAAGGTCGCGGACATCCTTCTACTACTGACGTGGATGAATCGAAGGATTCGATGGGAACGAATACAAGCAAACCTCTCAAAAACTCACAGAAAAGCTCGATGTAAACATGTCAATTGCTTTGGAATATCTAAAGAAGATTTGGAAGTCACGAAAGTTCGACAAATGAACATAACACAAACTGCCAACGCGTCAGGCTACCGATACTGCAAAGGTTGAACGAGCTGGATAACGAAACTCTCCCCCATCCAGGAAAAACTCTACGGATCTCTCACCTACCACCTGTTGAACTATATCAACAACTTCCTATACGAAAAATGCTCCAGAAACCAAACCGGAACCGAAACTACCTTCAACGGCCTCATCGCATCCTAAAGTTGAGAACATTGCGCGACTTGTATGAGCAAACTTGTTCCTGGTTGGTGAAAACGTGTTCGTTCTAATGGTTCTATTTCCACTAATAAATTTTATTCCGAGATGAGTTGTGCCGCTTTGGAAACACAGGTTGAAAGTGGATGACATAAATTCCCGAGGAACCTAATATTCTTATCCTTTGCTGTTTCACCAGTCGTACCTTCGTCGTCCCATAGGGAATAACGAAACAAGTTTAACGTTTACACAAACATGAACTTTCGATTGTTTGTTATTAGTTTACTTATAAATATTTCCATCCTTTCGCTGATCGAATGTCCTGAAAAATTAGTGTGTCCGTCAAATCTTTGTGGCACTAATTATTGATTGCCAACATTCGGACATCCGAACTGTTTTTACCGTCCATCTCCTACAAGAAACACTGAGGAGTTCGCAGATTAGAAGTTTCACCACTAAAAGCCGAATTTGCAATGGAATTCAAGTTTATGTTAATCCATTGTTCTCTATGAGATCCCTGCATTGGTAAACCACATGCATTTGTCTCAATGCATATTGCTTCCGACGATTTTGTGTCGCAGAGTTTATTTGCTATTGTTTTTCTTTCAATCACTAACTTCTCCTCTGACTCAGTCTGTGAAAAGTTATTCTTCGACCTTAATAGTTCAAAAAGCATATATATAGTGTGTTTATATACTATAAATAGTATATATATACTATATATAGTATATATATATATATAGTATATTTACATACTATACAGAGTATATATATATATGTATATATATATATCTATTACCTACTTGATACTTGAACGGCACGTCCTCACTAGTTGTGCGAGCCTCAGCACAATCACCATTTTTCGGAGATTTGCTGGTTAAGCCATTGTGGTTCCCTGGAACTCCGAGGTCATCCTGGCCAAAGCCTGCGCCAGGTCTTCACCACCACAGGCAGTCGCAGCCCCTGTGAATCAGAGGGTGATCTGCCACCATGCAACTTTGATAACAGGACGGTGGTGGATCCTGGTATTGTTTTGCTCTTAGCTAGGCTTCCAGATGGAAACGCCGGACTCCTTTTCAGCTTGGGAGACGCTGCCGGGAAGACGAATCCCCTCGCTGTACATCGCAGTCCGACACCCAAGAACACCTCCCAACCACGATGAGGTTGTAAACCGCTGGGAGGATATATATATATATATATATATATATATATAAATATATATTCGTATACCTATGGCACATGTGTGGTCATTTTGTATGATGTTGCACTTACGTTAGAAATTCTAGAGCTTCTGATTCCATTAATGTTTTATTTTTAATACATGTGAAATAAACAGAACAGATTCGGAGCTGTTTACCTATATCAACAAGAAGAAATGCGAAAAGAAAGAGGATTTTTAGGCTTTTATGCAAAAACATATTGGAAAAATTCATTGGGTTCGTAAGTTGATGATGGCTTCTATCTCAACTTTCAGTAACACTATGGTTTTCTATACTCTTGTTTATGGTCTTTCGATCTTACTGTAAACTCGATGATATATGCATCGAAATCAATGCACGTAGTTGTGAGTCTGTTGAAGTGCACTTTTCGCGAGCCATGGCAAGTTTTTCAGTCGTTATCAATTTGAAACGAATAGCACCTAAACAGTTATCAATATTATCACTACGTTTTCCAGTTTTCCATGTGAATGAGGAAGAAAGCGAAATATCTAAGAGAAAGATTGCCAAGTCAAAAAAGAGGAAAAGCAGCTAGGTGGAAACTTTGATGGTGGTCGAACTAGTCAAGCCAGACCATTCTGTGCTATCACCTCTAAGTTCACAATCTTACCCTAAAATTCGTTTCTAACGATTTTAGTGGACTGAGAAACTACTTGTGTAAAATGGATTCTGTTTTTGTGGAACATTTCAATAACTACATGTTGCTCCCGTTATAAGCAGGTCGTAATAGGTCGATAAAAGTTGTCCGTGTAAAAGAAATCGATTCTAGGAAATTATAAGTTCTGCTTGTTTATTTAGTGCAATACATTAACATCAGTTATAATAAAAAATAAGAGTTACGTAACCCACTGCAAGAATCATTTTTGCCTGAGTCGGTGTGTATATTTAGTCGCTTTATTTCCTTTGTCAGCAAATACTAGAATTTGTAAGATTCTATAGGTTTCATAAACTGGGGCCTGTATAGCCTAGTGGCTAAAACTGCGACACAAGAAATAGATTGTTTTTGATTCGACTCCACATCCGAAGTTGCTATCCAGACCCTCCACATATCCGATGTTTGGAAATTACTTCCATATTTCCAGGACTCACTTTTTATTAACTTTGTCACTGATCAATAATTCACCGCTTTCTTGATAAGCCTAAACAAGGTTATTAAATACTACAGTCTTTATTCGCGAAAGCTGACGTTTCGCCGGATTTCGCCTTCTTTAGAGCCTGGAAAGGTCAAATTGACTGCAATCTAGCGAACTAAATACCTCTCTAACCCCGATAGAAAAACCACAAAACCAAGAGTTCAATCGTTTTGAAAGAATGCAGCTTCTTCAAACAGTCACCGCTTTTCACGAGTCTTCTACGCAGCATTTAACATGGACACCAACTGTACAGATTCCACATGGAAGCGTAATGTGCCTCTCTTACATTAAAATACCAATCTGGAATAGTGTGAAGTCTCGCGTGATAACCACGTCTGTGCTTATCAAAATAATAGCTAATAATTGATACCATATTTGCCTATGAGGCAAAAACAATGCCATAATTGTATTGGTAAGCTTAAGCAAGCCATTGTATAGGCCATATATTCTGTCACCGTTACGAATGGAGTCGAATGCATGGAGCATCTCAATGGAATTGATCGGTGGCGCTGTTATACTTTTGTACGTATTCGATCGCTATGCTGTAGTATTTATTATTGCATTTTGTTGACGTTAGAAATTTGATGGACGGGAAGTTTTTAGCGTATTTCTACAATGCTAATCCGCACTTTTATAAGCCAAACATTACTACCGAAAACATTCCAGATGACAACTGCCGTTAATTTTTCTATAGCTGAATTAGTTGGGGATATTCGGAATCTGCCAATACTATTGCCTCATGCATAGGCGAACTTTGCTCGTTCATTCGATTCGTTGATAAAAGTGCGAGTCCTGATGAAAAAAATGGCTAAAAAGAAAAACCCTAAGAAAATCTGGATTTGGTCTTGCAACATAAAAGAGGCTTGAACCTTATTTGAGAAAGATTTGTTAGTTTTAATGATTTGCATTTGAACTGATAAAGTTTATTTCGATCTTAGGTGCATTTGTTAGAATTGAAGTGCCTCCAAGCGGCGTGTGTGTCGTATGTGACTCATAGGTTCCGAAGTCTGTCAATAGTTTAGTTTAGACTATGTTTTTTGTGTAACCAAAATTACGTTTGTCTGCTTGCTTATGCTACTGATATGTGTTGAATAGCAATTTCGTGCTTCATTAAATCTGTTCGGAATGTTTTCGAATCATAGCAAAACATTCTGAGACGAAGAGAAAAAAACGTTTTTCATTGAGGTACAATCCCAGAGCTCTTCTATTACTTCGTATAGGTCCATCTCTTGCATAAAATTTCGTATTTTTCAGGTAACCTTTTTTGCTGTAAACTATGGCATTAAATTCAGCTCGCAAAATACTTGACACCATTTTACCGTGGAGTTCTCCGGATCCAAAGCAAATTGCTGGACAGGTTAGAAAGTAATAAATTCGACGATCTCATTGAAACTAAACGCTCATCAACGTCGAGAAAGCCAAATTTTTTCGAGTATGAAATTAGTTTCTTGTAAACTTATTCTTATGCCTATTCCCATCGTTCTCCTTCTTGTCCTTCCTGTTCTTTGTTTTCTTTATTCTTCTTTTTTCATCCTCTTCCTCTTCCTATCAAATGCTTTACTGATTCGTTTTTGTCAATCTGGTTTCGTGGATGTTTAACTTCGGTGAGCGGTGGATACCTCAATAGGATCTTCGAAGCTGATAATGAATTTATAGTTCTATCCATGAGCTCAATGGCGCGTGTGGCGTAGTGGTTGGAGACACTACTGCGACACATACGTGGAATCGATCCCCGAGCCCATAGCCCACCAAGCCTTCCATCCCTCCGGGGTCGGCAAATCGTAACTAGACTTGTCTGGGAGGATAGCAGCACTGGCTCTATATATCGCTAGTCCACCGCGAGTTATTGTGAAGGTCAGATATGCATTCAACCACCTCCAAACAATGCTTAATGAAGTCGAATGCATGGAGCATCCTTCAGGAATAGATCAACGCTGAGAGCTTCATCCTTTTTATCCTTTATCCATGAACTTAGCCAAGTGTAATCGAATGGAGGATTCACTCTCATACTGGCAAACAGCATTCTGTGTTAAGGATATCCCAGTTTGGAACTCAACATAATGCACAAGTACGAGTAAGGACGACGAGAGCATATGAATGCAGCGAAGGGTTTGTGTCTACCTTTTCAGTTGTACTTACTATTATTCTTCCTCACTCAAAGTAGGCTTCGGGAAACAGCGCGTTGATTAAGTATTATTTAAAAACAGTCAATGTTATCAAATGTTGCATCGGAAGGAACGTCCTAGATGTATCGTATAACACTGATAATGACAATGGGATTCTGGAGTTCTGGTTTACGTAGACGACCGTCCTCGGCGGTGCTGCTGCATATGCCATCATAAATTTGCTTCATGGAACATATAAAACTTTATAGCTACGTGTGATGGACAAATGGTATTATCGCTTAGGTACAGAGTCCTATTTGTCATTCGCAAAACACGTTTTTGCATTTACTTTTTCATTGTAATCGATTGAGTTCCCTTTCATCGATACGGGCATGATAATAGACTCGTTTTAGGTCGTTTTGGTTACGGGTGCCGGCAATGGTTTGGGACGAGAGATTGCGATAAAGTTCGCGAAACTCAGTTGCAAATTGGTTTTATGGGATCTTGATGAAAGAGCTAATGAAGAGACGAAGGCAATTTGCGAGAGTGTAGGTGCAGAGGTATGTGAAGATTTACTCGAAAGATCGAGTTTTTGTGGAAGCTCAATGATACTTCGTTGTTCGACTTTGATAATGGAATGCGAAAAAGGATTTTAAATCACAAGAAATGAAGCTCAAATTTATGTATATGCATAGTTCGCTTTCCGCTAGTATGGAGTATACTTCAAACCGTCTTCGAATTTAAAAAATACACATTGTTTTTACTATTCTTCTACGTTATGGCACGTGTAGCACAATGGTAGAAGGTGCTCTTTAATGCACATATGGTTGTTGGTTCAATCTCATGCACCGAGTTCACAAAGCCTTCTGTTTTCTCCAAGGTTTACAAATTGCTTCTGGTCTTGTTTGGACGGTTAAAAGAGATTTGATGCATTAGTATGCTTCTACAAGTGGTTGTATAAGCGAGGTTTAATGCGTGGCGCTTCCTTCAGGGATTGATTAACAACGAACGTTTTATCTTCAATTCTTGAATTGTTTGTTTAAGTAGCCTACGATGACTGAAGAGTAGGCGTTCTCAGAATAAGCTTGATTTCATTTAACACCCTTTCCTTAATGCACTTACTTACTTAGCTCTGTCTCTACATGTGTTGTGGTAGCTAAGGTGGGGGGAGGGGGTTGAGACGGTGTTTCAGCTTACCGAATTAAGATATTGTTGCCAATCCCAAGTATAGTCAATCAAGTTAAGCAGTCGCTTTGGTGAACTCTCCATCTGCAGTTTGGAGTTGCAAATTAACTAAGATATATTGAGTTCATCCTCGAATGATTGCGTAAAAGCTTGCACCTCCTTTATATCACATGTTTACGCATTAAAAATAGAGAGCGTTTAATGATTGAATGAAATATCGTAAATTAAAGGAGATGGCTGTGTTCAGTATATATACTTGAAGGAGCAATAATTAAAAGACAAAACCCCCGACGCGGATCAATCCCTGAGTGATTTGCCATGCATTCGACTCCATTCGTAGCATTGTTTAGGTGACTGAGTTCATGTTTGTGTTATTAAATCACTTGCGGTGGCCTAGCGATATACCAAGTCAATGCTGCTCTCCCATCGGACAAGTCCAGTACAAGTACGCTGACTCTTTGAGGGTTTGGAAAGCTTTGTGAGGCGCGGGTGTGGGATTGAACCAACGACCACGCGTGTATTGCAGGGAACCTCTAACTACTACCCTACACGTGCCATGAAGAAACATTTCAAGGCAAGAGGGATGGGTGCTGATCTGTCTGAGTTCGAATATACTAAGGGAATTTCAATCCTTATTGGTGGCTTTGAACTCTTATTTTTCTGCGAATATTTGCAGGCGTACACATATCGAGTAAATGTGTCGAGTCGAAAGGAGATATATTCGACAGCAGAACGAGTAATGGATGAAGTTGGAGCAGTCAGAATCGTGGTTAATAATGCCGGAATTCTACGAAATGCCTGTGATTTTCTTTCGAAAAACGATGAAGATATTGAGGCAACGATCCGAGTGAATATGATGGCTCATATATGGGTGAGCGGACAAAGATCACAGTGAAAACCGTATGGTACTGTATTTATGACATATGTAATAAGCGTTGTGATAATAGTAGAAATTAGTAGGAGAAATTTATGATGAACTAAAAACGGATACTGTATGACGAGTGACTGAGAATGTCGTCTTAAGAATCAATGCATTTGATACCTATCGATCAGTTGGCTACTCAGGAGTGCTTTATATAGCATAAAAAGCAAAAATAATATGGCCTTGATAGATAATCAGTTCTACTGGTATTACGGCATAGGTCTTCCAACGGTTTACGGTCTCATCGTGACGGTCAGGTGTTTCTGGGTGTCGAGCTGCGATATATAATGCAGGGATCCATCCACCCGACAAGGTCACCCAAGATGTGAAGGAGTCCGGCGTTTCTATCAGGAAAACAGCTAAGACTAAACCAACTTCAGGATCCACCACTGTCCTTGTATCAAACAAGTCTCATGGTGGCAAATCTTCCTCTGATCCACAAGGACTGCAAATGCCTGTGGTGGTGAGAACGTGGGGCATACTTTGGTCAAAATGACCTTGGGATTGCAGGGAACCACAATGGCTTATTCAGCAAATCTCCGAAAAATGGTGGTCATGCTGGGCTCCGCACAGTTAGTGAGGACTGGCCGTTCAACTATCAAATAAGTAACATTATATTTACGTTGTTTATCAAAATTAATGCTGTAGTAAGTGTAATGAATGTTTGCTTAGTTACGTTTTTTTTTAATGAGGTGGACTTTTTCTATGTCTTGTTTGTTTAGATGGCGAAGGCGTTTCTCCCTACAATGATCGAACGTGACGCTGGTCATATCGTTTGCGTTTGTTCACTGGCAGGAATCATAGGATTAAAGTGTTAGATTTAACTATTTATAATTCCGAGATTCAGCTGCAGATTACAGTAATAGAAGTGAAGAATCTTAACATTCTTTTCTAAATACATTCCTGGATTATTAAGCTAACACGAGGGTGTTTCCAAATATTTATTCGACTAACGTTTCTACAAGGAAACATGAAAAACAACATGAAGGAGGAGCTAGATAAAAGAAGGTGAGCAGTTTTGGCCCCATTCGGGCCTCCCAAAGAAGACACCGATCAACTGAAGGACCCTAAAATCCGCGCTCATCTTTCAATTCAACGGTCCTCCCAGCGCTCTATTATGCTGCAGAGACGTGGGTTGATACTTCAGCCACGTCAGGAATACTTAGCACTGCTCACAGAGTGCTTGAGCGGTGTTTTCTGAAATAAAACCGGTACTCACAATATCTAGCTGGAGTACGAAGCTCTGATCTTCGAAATCTGTCACATTTTTGGGATACAATAGAATATGCATCTATAGTGAAACACAGATGAACCGGTCACACATTGAGAAGAGTATTACGACCGAAAGGAGAAAAGAACTGCAGAAAGGACTGAATGAAGATGCAGGCGTCTTCTAGGATAGGCATCTACGCGTTGCGCAGACATGTTCATAAATAAAGTTAATCAGCTGTACCAGCAGCTGCAGTTATTTTACAGATCACTGCGTGAGACTCGCACGCACCACCATGCTCGAACAAAACCATCATGGACGACGATTACAAGGGAAAGAAACCAATGACAAATGTGCTAGGGTCCGCACAACTCGTGAAGACGGACCATCCAAGTGTTCAAGTATCCAAGTAACGTTTCTACGTCTTGCTATTGTTCAGTGCCGGTGATCTGAGTCTATGCTTCACAGCTGTTCATCCTCTGGATGAAGTGTCTTCGTCTTCGTATCGAGTCGAATCTTCTTCAGTGGGGCACCTGTGTTCTTTCAATGTTTCTATGACCCGTCTTCATATATTTTGAAGGTCCTCACACTGTCCCTTTCCGTTCATCCTCTTGGAGTCTTCACATGAAAGACATTTGAATTGGTGAATAGGCTCGTCCCGTAAAATTTTTTCCTCTTGATGAATGTCGTTGTTGACGACCAGTCGAATTTCTTCATTCTGCAATAGCAGAATGACTCGCTCTAAAGGGTTTCCAGGACTTCACCGTAGTAATCACGCGCCCTTCTGGAACGGATGAAGCATTTCTCCGATAAGTTAAGACCATAAGCACTAACCTACGAATCCCTTTGCGATGAGGGTTTTATTAGCCCGAATTAGGATCGGAAAACTGTGTGTATCGCAGTGCCTCTAAACATTGCTCTACACGCATCCAGAGCATTCAGTGATCAATTCTTTTACCTACTCCAATGTTGCATCTACACTTTGGACCTCTTTTTTGTTGCATCATGGAAAACTTTTCAGTTATTACGGACTATTCGTCATCGAAATTCGGCGCTTTCGGATTTCAAGTGAGGCTTTTGGTTTCTTTTCCAAAGATTGTTTAGTTCTGATTCATTTAAATGATTGCATCGTTCGTCATTATTTCAGGAAGCGCTCGAGAACGAGACGCATTTTCACGGCAGAAAAAATATTTCTTTTACCACAATTTGCCCATCATACATTCGAACAGGATTATTAGATGGAATGCCGTAAGTTCCACATTAATAAATGGGTCATTAGATATGACTAGTATTATTTTAGCCATTCGCTTTTTTTTACCATGAATCTTTTATCATATGTCTTCTTGCAACTTCATATTTGTTACAACTGAATCCTCCCAATGGTTTACCGCCTCATCGTGGCTGGAATGTGTTCCTGGGTGTCGGGCTGCCATCTATGGCAAGGGTATTCGTCCCCACGACAGGGCTTCCCAAGATGAGAAGTGGTCCGGCGTTTCTATCAGGAAGCTTAGCTAAAAGTAAACCAATACCAGGATCCAAACCACAATGATTAGACCAGCAAAACTCCGAAGAAACGGAAATTATGCTGGAGTCCGCACAACAAGTGAAGAGGGGCTATCCAAGTATCCAAGTAAGTATAATTGAACAGCCTTCTTAAACGTACGTCATATCATCCTTCGTCTTTACATCTGCTGTCTCTTTATTCTAATTTCATTCTATTCCCTTTTTTTGTTTAGACGTCACTCCAATGTTCACATATTGTTTACCAAAACTTTTGCGACCATTTTCATTGATTTCAAGACGTGCTTTGGCGGGCGTTACAGACATTGCATATTGATTTCGATGCGTTTTCACCAGTTTCTTCTCCTGCGCAGAGTTTTTTTTTCCATGTTTTTTGAAGTCAGTTAATAATTTTTCTAACACAGATGTTGCTTTGAGCCTTGCTCAGCAAAAACTCTGTTCTGCACTTAGAAATTCGGCGAATTGAGTTCAGACTGAATGAGATGAACGAAAACGGGATCAATCTTAACCTTTTTATTTACTGCCTGTTCTTTTTTAACGGCAGGGTATGTTGCAAAATATAACTTCTATAATGCTGAGATATTTGCAAAACTCCGGACAGCAGGCGTTTGCGGTGGGGAACGAACGCGCTATTGTCCTTTCCGGGGAGTAACACGTTCACCACCACACCATGCGCATCCTTCGTTTCGCCTGTCTCTCAGCTAGTCCTATCGATCTCTTGCCATCAGCAACCACCCGTCCGGTTAAGATTGTGATTATAGCTATAGCCTCAGCTTAACTAGATTCAATGCCGATTTGGGCTCCCCAGATCAATCCCGTTGACGAGTGATTGTAATCCGGCTGGAGAAAAACCACCTTGAATTCTTCTGTCGGAGGCTCGAGTTGCGATAGAAAGCATGAAAACAGGCTCAGCTCCAGGACCCTACAAAATTACCGCCCATTTCCTCAGAAGTAGAAGCTGCAATTTACATGTATTTCTCGCAGATTATATGACAGGCTACCTTCAAAAGGAAAAAATCCCAGACCAGTAGAGGACGTCGCGCACGGTCATCCTGCGCAAGAAAGGAGACCTAAGGGATCTTCGTAACTGTCGTCCCATATGGCTGTTAAGTGTACTCTACAAGCTCTTAACGGAGATTATCCTTTCGCGCATATCAAGGACAGTGGATGAGGCGCAACCAGTCGAGCAAGCAAAATTTCGAAAAGGATTTTGCTGTATGGACCGCATCGAAACCGCGTCCAGGGTCATCGAAGTTTGTCGGGAATACCACTTGCCTCTAGTCCTAACCTTTGTCGACTATGAGAAAGCGTTTGAAAGTGCCGAAACGAATGCAATTCTATCAGCGCTCGTCGACCAAAGAGTGGACCCGTCCTACACAAGGGCTCTGCCCGACTGTTATCGGAACTGCACTACGAAAATACAGCTTTTCCATCGACCTCTTACAATACCTATGGGAAAAGCGGTTCGATAGGGCGACACAATATCGCCAAAGCTGTTCAGTGCCGCACCGCAGTGGATAATGAAGTTACTCGATTGGGATAAGAAAGGCATACGTATTGATGGAAAATTCCTATCAAACCTTCGTTTCGCCGACGACATTGTCATTTTCTTAAGAAGTACTAGCGAAGCAGAGGTGGTGATCAACGAGCTCAACGAAGTGGGGAAAAAGATCGGACTTCGCATAAATCGAAAGAAGACCCAGTTCATGAAAAACCCATTGTGCAAAGGCGAAAGAATTGAACCGGATGGCTCTCTCAGTGCAGAGTCCACCTCGTACGTTTACCTTGGGCGATCAATGAACATGGAAAATGACATGAAGAAGGAACTAGGTAGAAGAAAGAGAGCAGCTTGGGCCGCATTTGGGCCTCTCAAATAAGCCACCGACCAACTGAAGGACTCAAAAATCCGCGCTCATCCCTTTGATTCTGCGGCTCTCCCAGCGCTCTGTTATGCTGCAGAGACGTGAGTTGATACTTCAGCCACGTCAAGAATGCTTCGAACTACAGAGCGCTTGAACGATGTCTTCTGAAATATAACCGGCACTCTCAATATCTAGCCGGAATGCGAAACTGTGACATTCGAAATCTGTCACATCTTTAGATGGGCCGGTCACATAATGAGAAGAACAGGCGACAGATGGCCGAAAAGAACAGTAGAGTGGGCTCCAAGAGAATGCAAACGTCGACGACCACCTACACGTTGGGCCGATATGTTCGTAAACAAGGTTAATCAGCAGTGTCC